TAAATTTCATAATTTTGATATGATTATGCTGGTCTTTTTTTAATAAGCCTAAATTAACTGAAATTAATACAGATGATGTGAAAACACAAGAATAAATAAGGTAAGTGAGAGGGAAATGCAATCTCACTTTTTATCTTTTGGGTTTATGTAGGCTCTTTTTTTTTTTCTCCAATTCCCAACTCAACCAAATATAATTTGGAATTCGAATCCTATCAATTTTTTGTCATTTTCTTTCTATCTTTCTTTCTCTCATCAAATCTTCTAACCAAATAGAACCTAAGATTTTTATTTTTTGGGTGATAATTTAGACTATTTTTTTCTTTTATTCTTACCAAATGTGTTACGGCACACATTTGCTGTGTAATACTTAAAACACGACATTAATGGATGTGCAACAAAAAATATATTTAAATGCAATTCAAATGAAAATAATTAAAATTAGTTTGATGCTACAGATTTATATATATATATATATATTGTTATTGTTTAATTTTAAAATATATTTTTGATACTTTGTTTCAAATCGAGCATAGTTAAGATTTTATGTTAGTTTATAATGAGATAAAAATGAGGGTTTTTTTTTTTCTTCTTTCTACATCCCTAATTAATAGATTGTACTAGTTTAAGAGCAACTAAAGAAGTTTTGTTCAAGGACACTAAATATTTTCTGCACAAAACTGCCCTTACTTTTAGGGGTGAGCAGCGGATATACAGATCCGCCAAAACCGACCGAATCGAACCGATCCGTCACATTTTGGACGGATACGTGATGACGAGCGGACGGTTGCAGATTGATTTTCTCTAATCCGCCAATTTGGCGGATGGATGGTGGATTTGAGGTTTCTTTGGCCGCAACCGAACCGCCAAACCGCGAGCACCCTTAGTAATTTATAAGACTTTGTGTTTTCTATTTGTTTAAATATTTTGTTTGTTTTCAATTGAAAAAGAGTTCAAATATTCTGTTGAAAAAAAATTTCAACTTGAATATATTTTTTGAATTGAAAAAAATAAACATAGTATTTATCTAGATTTTTTTGTTTTTAAATCTAACTCTAAAAGTAATAAATAGAAAATATGATATATGCTAGTTGGTTTTTGTTTTCAAAAACATATATAAATGTAACAATTCAGAGACATACAATCACTACTATTGCTCTGTTTATGGTTTTGGTGGTTTGAATTGTTTTTATATTTTAAGAACCACATATTGTAATATTTTATGTGGATGAGGCATGCAATGATTGTGATATTCTAAAGTTTCAAACTTTCTTTTTTTAGATGAGGCATGTAGTAATTGTAATATTTTTTTAAGTCATTGACTGCAATACTTTTTTTTTCTTTTTTTCTTTTTTTTGAGGAAGTGCACAAGTTGAACTATGTTGAAAATTTATAAAATTTCAAACCGCCAAACCGATTCGCATCCATCCGCCAAACCGCCAATCCGCTCAATCCACATCCGCCGGATTGGCGGACGGATGCAGATTGATTTTCTCCAATCCGCCAATCTGGCCGACGGATGGCGGATTGGAGATTCCGTGGCCGCAACCGACCCGCGCCCACCCCTACTTCCTCCCTATACGGAGGAGGTGATCTGTGCGGAATGGAAAGAAAGGAAGAAAGGGAAAGAAAGGTGATCTGTGCAGAATGGAAAGAAAGAAAGAAAGGGAAAGAAAGGTGATCTGTGCAGAATGGAAAGAAAGAAAGAAAGAAAGAAAATGAGAGGGGAAAAAGGCCAAAAAAAAAAAAGAGGAAGGAGAAGGGGAAGAAAGGAAGAAAAAATAATGGAAGTCGAGAGAATTTTTTATAGTAGAAAGAAAGAGTAAGGAATTAAAGTTAAAGTGAGTTATATTATACCTTGAGTCACCATAATATATTTTACGTATGTTTTGACTTACCATAATTTATTTTATATAAATTATGTTTTATAAATTATTATAAACTATATTAATATTTCAGTTACGTGCATTAATTTTTGAACCCTATTTGTTTAAAATGAAACTCATGGATATGTTTGCTTATATTTTGTAAGTACCACCACGGAATTCTCATGCCTTGGGGGACTTAAATAACCATCGGCTTCTGTTTGCTCACTTTGTGGCCCTCTAATGTCATGGATCCATTGACCTCTGTTCTGTGCGGAGCAAAGTGTTGTGCGGAGATAAGTGCTACACTATTGTGGGAGCCACCTCTATAATCTGTACGAGCCACCTCTTGAATCCATACCTCTATTCTGACTGTCACTCCCGTTATCTCTGTTCTGACTGTCACTCATGTGATTTCTGTTCTGTTCTATTCGGTACCGTGGTTATGGTTATTTATTTACATAATCTCAATTTTGCTACTTAAAAGATTAGTTGTTCAGACTAAGCTATCTTAAATATTTCAGTTACATAATTATCCATAATTATTTTGTATCTCTTATACTCTTTGTATAATATTTTTCACTCTGCCATGTGCTTATAGCTGTTTACCAATTTTCAAGAAATAATGTAAATCAGAAATAGTTTTTGAAAAGTTTTAGATGCGGGGCTGCGGAATAGACACACAGAGCACTTTTGTGGATATGTTTATATATAAATATCGGCATTTTTGGTCAATAAATTTTGTTATAAAAATAGAAGCTCCAATGATTATTTTGGTTCCCTCACTTAAATATTACTTCCTCTCGCGTTTATTAATTTGTTTAAGAATTGGCCAAAGGTAACTTCAGTTACTGGCCGTCACGATGCTTAACCCCTGGGTATGGAGAGCGAGTCGTAACAAATGAGGTAAGAGAAAGAAAGAATATAATGAGATAGAGAGAAGAAGAATAAGGAGTGAGGAGTGAGATCTATTTCACATCATTAGAAGTAGATTAGAGGTGCTCAGCTAGAGCTCCCAAGTATTTTTCTTTTCAAAATTACAATTAATATTTTAAACAAATCTTAATAAGGAACAACTTCTCTCCAGTTTGGACTAAAGCATATTGCTGGACTTCTGTGGGCTCATTACAGAGCCTACATCAACGATTCGAACCGTTCAATGCGCAGGGTTCGTCGAGTACTTTATCCTTATAAAAAATCTCGTTAATTAGATATCAATAACCACTTAATCAGATCATATTTGTATTAATAATTTATTTTTAAAATTTTATTTACCATTAATATAAATTTGATCTAGTCAAACAACTATCGATATCTGATCAATATAATTTTTTATAAAAATAAAATATTTAACAAAATCTATATATTAAATAGTTCGAATCATCAATGTAAACTCTGTAATGAGCCTATGAAACCCCACCACACACTCTATTGTGACTGGAAACACGAGAGAAGCGTGTGCCAGCTCAATATATTCTTAATTTGCTTTAAATATTAAAATGAACCAACTTTGCATCTTTGATTTATAGTCCACCGAGAAAAGAGTAAGATGACAGAGTAGCCACCCATAGAGTGAAATCAAGCCAAGTCTACCTAAGATAATAACCGTAATATTATTGACCCAAACATAAAAATTCAAAAATTATTTAAAATTTTATATTAATGACTCATATTCATTTTATATATAAATTTTACACGATACAAATTCAATATTTACTATACATCACTTTATCTAAAAAAATCTGAATAAGTATGTCATTGTCCATAACATTTTTGTAATAATAATAATAAAAAGAAATTACAAAAATGATGTAAGTTGATAAAATTATTAAATTTGTAAGAAAAAAATTTAGAATTTTAATTATTAATAATATTAATAAAATTTATAATTATTTTCAAAACTTTCTCCTGATATTATTGTTATTAAAAAAACAAAGACAAGAATTGTCAAAAGTCAAGTAAAGTTAAGTCTACATATAATATTATTATTATTATTAAAACTGGTTGTGGTTTGAAAATTATGTATATCATTGTATTGTTTAAATAATTAACAGGATGATTATCTTTTACTTTCTTCTTTTTTTTTTCATTAGTGTTTAGGATTCAAAGTTGCACTTAAAAAATAAAAATAAAAAAAGTGTAGGATTCAAAGTGACAAAAATAAAATTTTAGAGACCAAAATAATATGAAATTCATATATTAGGTACTAATTCTTTATCATTTCGTAAATTTAGGCAATCCGTTTAAAATTGAATCAATTCAATTCCGTGAATACTTCATTGATAACATTAAAAATTTTAAAATCAAAGTAATACGAACAATATATATAAAGAAATGTATTTTGGTGAGAGCCGCAAATGAAACTATTGGAGGACCAAACACTACACAAGGTCATTGGTCCAAATGATCGGATGCTTATGTTGTATAATTTGTTACAAAAGTGATGGTCCACAGACATGTTTTTCATATGCATCGATCTGGCATAATCTTAGTGGAGGATCCAAACCAAGACTATTGAAAGGAATTGCACTAGAATTTTCAAACCCAACTAATAATTTTTCAAGTTTTATTATCTATAAATACCTCGCCATCCCTCCATCCTATTACTGTCTTTCATAGCTTTCTATTAATAACAAGCCTACAATGACATTCTTGGCCAATACACTTCCCAACCACTTTCTTTCTTTCCGGGCCCTTTTACTATGCCTCATCATCCTTGCACTGCCCACTTTTTTTTATTATGGTGCTTTTGCTTCTTCCTTAACTAGAAAACAAGGAAGTGAAGCCACGGCTCTCTTGACGTGGAAAGCTAGTCTTCACAACCAAAGTCAAACTCTCTTGTCCTCTTGGGTTGGAAGCAACCATTGCAGTTGGGTTGGAATTGGTTGCAACAAGGCCGACAGAGTTGCCTATATAGACCTTCACGGTTATGGTTTGAAAGGTACTCTTTCTAATCTTAAATTCTCATCCTTCCCCCATCTCCTCACCCTTCGACTTTTTAACAACTCACTTTATGGGACCATCCCCTCCCAAATTGGTAGCCTTTGGAGACTCACCTACCTTATTTTGTCTCTCAACAATCTCTCTGGAACAATTCCAACCGAAATAGGCCAACTGACTAATCTAAGGATCTTGTACATGAGTAGAAACCAAATCAGTGGCTCCATCCCTCAACAAATAGGATTGCTCAACTCTCTCAATGAGATTGGCTTGCATACTAACAATCTCATGGGTTCAATCCCTTTTTCAATTGGAAACTTGGGCAACTTAACCACTCTGCACCTTTATGACAACCAACTTTCCGGATCAATCCCTCAAGATATTGAGATGCTGAGGTCTCTCGTTGATCTCGAACTCTCAAGGAACAATCTCACAGGTTCAATCCCTACATCTATAGGGAACTTGGGCAACTTAACCACTCTGTACCTTTATGAAAACCAACTTTCCGGATCAATCCCTCAAGAAGTTGGGATGCTGAGGTCTCTCGTTGATCTCGAACTCTCAATGAACAATCTCACAGGTTCAATTCCTGCTTCTATAGGAAATTTAGGCATGTTAACCTTTTTGTACCTTCATAAAAATATGCTTTCAGGATTCATTCCTTCGACAATTGGAAACTTGACAAAGTTGACGGATTTAGACTTAAGTCTAAATCTATTATCAGGCTCCATTCCTTCAGAGATAGGAAATTTAAAACAACTTGGCTATTTGATACTCATTGATAACCAACTCACTGGATCTATTCCTCAAAGATTGAACAATCTTACACATTTGAAATGGTTTCTTATAGCTTACAACAAGCTCGTTGGTCATTTACCAGAAAACCTATGCTTTATTGGATTACTTACAGAATTAGGTGTAGCTGACAACAATCTCACAGGTCCTATCCCAAAAAGCTTGAAAAATTGCCATAGCCTATATAGAGTCAGGCTTGAAGGAAACCAACTGCTAGGCAATATATCAGAAGATTTTGGCATATACCCAAACTTGGATTACATTGATTTGAGTCGCAACAATTTTTATGGTGAGATATCTAAAAACTGGGGAAAATGCCACAATTTAACTAGTCTCAAAATGTCAAACAATAAAATTTCTGGTAAGATACCATCTGAATTAGTAGAGGCAACTCAGCTATCCGTTCTTGATCTTTCTTCAAATCATCTAGTTGGAGAGATCCCATTGAAATTGGGAAGGTTGGTTTCACTATTCAACCTTAAGCTGGATAATAACTATCTATTGGGCAATATTCCTCCAGAATTCAGTAAGTTGTCCAATTTAGAGAACCTTAACTTGGCAGCAAATCATCTCAGTGGCTCAATCCCTAGAGCACTAGGAGAGTGCAAGAAACTTTGGAACTTGAATTTGAGCAATAATAAATTTGGGGAAAGCATTCCTACTGAAATAGGCCAGATCAACACTCTTCAAAGTCTTGATCTTGGTAATAACTTGTTAATTGATAAGATACCACAACAGATTGGAGAATTACGAAGCTTAGAAAGGTTGAATCTCTCCCACAATGAGTTCTTTGGTTCTATACCATCATCTTTCAATAGAATGGTAAGTCTTACTTCCATTGATGTGTCATACAATCAGTTAGAGGGTCCTCTTCCTGACATCAAGGCCTTCCAAGAGGCTCCATTCGAGGCAATCAAAGGTAATAAAGGTTTATGTGGTAATGCTACTGGTCTTAAGGCTTGCTTGACAAAATTGAACACTGGGGGTGTTGAAAAAAAGGGCAAGAAAGTTATGTTACTAATTGTACTTCTTGTTTTTGGAATTTTGTTTCTTTCGCTAATGGTTCTTGGCATTTTCATGGCTTTGCGTAAGAAAGTGAGGAACACAAAAAACGAGCCATCACGAGTAAATCATGATAATGTTTTTGCAATATGGAGCTATGATGGAAAAATGGTCTATGAAAACATCATCAAAGTCACTGAGAACTTCAGTGCCAAATATTGTGTTGGAGAGGGAGGATATGGTACCGTTTATAAAGCTGACCTACCAAATGGGCAAGTCGTTGCTGTGAAGAAACTTCATGCAACACTTGATGATGACTCCGCTAATCTAAAAGGGTTTACAAGTGAGATCCGCGCATTAACTGAGATTCGGCATCACAACATTGTAAAGCTGTACGGTTATTGTTCACACCCAAGGCATTCATTTTTGGTTTATGAGTTCTTGGAAGGGGGAAGCTTGGGAAAGGTGCTGAGTACGGATGATGATATAGTAGTCTTTGATTGGATTAAGAGAGTGAACACTCTTAAAGGTGTGGCAAATGCTCTGTCTTATATGCACCATGATTGTTTTCAACCAATCATCCATCGAGACATATCAAGCACGAATGTTTTGTTTGATTTAGAGTATGACGCTCACATCTCTGATTTTGGCACAGCTAGATTTATGAATCTCAACTCATCCAATTGGACTACATTTGCTGGGACCTTTGGTTATGCTGCTCCTGGTATATATTTTTCTATTGCGATGAATTATTTCCAATTAAATTACCCATGTAGTGTTTGTTCATTTTAACTTACTAATGATGACAAATTGCTAGATTTAAGCTTTTTATTTAATATGCATACCCTTAAATTTTCATGTATGACGAGCATAGCTACTGAAAAGCCATTTTAGATGAAAAATACGCACTAAAATAAGTAAATAGTATTGCAGATGCGTTAGCTAATTGGGGTTGTGATAATAATTCTTATTTCTCTACTTTTTAAGAGCCTTGTAGATTTGTTAAGCCTGTTGTAGCTTTAGATAGGTTGTGTACTTTGTATATATATTCAAGTTTGTTAGTGTTGATTCTTTTTTGGGCCAAATTACACTGTACCCCTATAATTTACACCATTTATTGCTTTGCCCCTTGACTTTTAAATTATTTCAATCAGTCCCTAGATTTCAAGTCCAGCTTCAATTGGGCCTAAGCATATAACGTTGTCTTAAAATGAGATTTTGGTGAAAATACAAGTTGATAAGGAATAAAGTGAGATTTTGATAAAAGTGTAGGGGTGCTAATTGAAATTAATGCTATCACATGACTATTCTTTGTTAGTTTTTGAAACAAGGTTATACAAATGGGACCAATTCCAATTTGACTCGAAGTCTGGAGGGTTGACTAAAACAATTAAAAGGTCACAAGGTAAAATGGGATTAGATGTAAAGTGTAATTTACCCATTCTTTTGCATGAATATTTTTTTTTTCTTTTATTGCTTGGGAGATCAGGCTCATTACCCCTCTTGATTTTAGATTATTAATAAATTTCACCTTATGTTGTCAAGGTATACCAAAAAGTAAAAAATAAACTCTTTTTTGCGAGACATGGAATATTTTTTCTTTGTTTAATGTTCATTTAAGAAAATGATTATTTCAACAGGATTCTATGGGTTTCCTTTATTTTAGTATTTATGGTTTTCATTGAGACTTTGGCCTGCTCTAATGACCTACCACTTGTGCAAGGATGGATCGAGGAGGCTAGTAGGGGCAACGGCCACCCCAAAATTTTGAAATAACTCCTTAAATGTAGTGGTATTAGTTATCAATATTTATAAATTATAGAGGCTCACCCCTCCAGGATATTATTGATTTTCTTTAACTTAATTTGTAGTTTTAAGTTTCAATCATTACTCTTCAACCCTAGGTTTCCTTTCTCTTTCTGCCTCTTTTTCTTCTTGTTTGTTTCAGTTCTCTTCTTCTCTTCTTGTTCTTCTTTTTCCTCAATTTCTTCCTCTATCGTTTTTGTTATTTCACTTCTACCTAGAACTCAATTTCCATTTTCACTTTTTCTTCCTCTTCTCCATCTCTATTTTAAAGCAACTTATACTTTCTATTCTTTCTCTTTTTTTTTATTTCTGTATTTAAATTATGTCTTTCTTTCTTTCTTTCTTTCTTCTTGTTAGTAATGGGCGCCCATGTGGCATTCTTCTTGTTCTTCTTTTTCCTCAATTTCTTCCTCTATCGTTTTTGTTATTTCACTTCTACCTAGAACTCAATTTCCATTTTCACTTTTTCTTCCTCTTCTCCATCTCTATTTTAAAGCAACTTATACTTTCTATTCTTTCTCTTTTTTTTATTTCTGTATTTAAATTATGTCTTTCTTTCTTTCTTTCTTTCTTCTTCTTCTTTTTCTTCTTCTTTGAGATCTTAATTACATTCGATGGAAGTCGTACTCACCAACAAAGAGATCACATTGCCATTGAGCATTTTTTAGTTGACATTTTACAATTACAAGTGATACTCAATTATAAGAATTAGAAAAACTGATCTTAAAAAACTGATTGATTTTTCAAAATTGAAGATATTTGCAAGCTTGCAAGTAAATTTAATTTACATTTGAAATTCCAGTTACAAAATTAGACATTCTGAATTTCAAAAATTGTTAATAATAGTTGAGTTGTGTCAAAGTGTTTGTAGAGCAAGAAAGTCGATAATTTATCCTCTTGTCAATGGATTGAATTGTCATCTTTTAACTTTACCTATTTCTATAGTGATTACAAAATGCACCTTTTTGTTAATAAAAATTATCCAAACTAAGCAACACAAATAGTAATTTTTTCTCCTTGATTCAAAGTTCGCTCCCTAAGATTAAAATCATGCATCCATCCTTGCACTTGTGAATAGTCCTACAAAAGCCACTGTATATAGTTCATTGCTTCAAAAACTTATCTTTCTATAGTTAACATTTTTGGTAGTGAACAAATTTCATTAATTCTTTATTTCTCTCAAATTGTTTAGGTTGGTTGTCAAATCAAAAGGAGTAATAACATTTGAAAGACTTTAGTTAATATTGGTGACTAACAATCCTATTGATATCTTGAAAATCATGTATGGGAAGGTAGGTAGCTGCTTCAATGAACTAACTATCCTATTTTAAGATTTTCATAGTTCTCAGGTTTTCATATTTTGAAATTTCGGCATTGGCATTCATCAAGCATTTATATAATTTCCTTCTTTTGGAACCCTAAACTATTCATGTTATTTATCAAAGAATTTTAAGCAATTTAATCAAATCTGGAAATGGGCCAGGAGCCTTTTTATTTACTTTTCACCCTTTCTTTATTTAACTATTTTCTGTTGATGGACATTTTTGTTTTTTGGCAGAACTTGCTTATACAATGGAAGTAAATGAGAAGTGCGATGTTTATAGTTTTGGGGTGCTGGCACTAGAAGTGATTATGGGGAAGCATCCCGGTGATCTAATCTCCTCTTTATTGTCATCCACGTCCTCATCATCAACATCAACTGCGCAAAGGATATTTTTGAAGGACGTCTTAGACCAACGCCTCCTACCTCCGAGGAATCAAGTGGCAGAGCAAGTAGTTGTTGTTGCGAAACTAGCATTTGCATGTTTACACACCACTCCACTATCTCGGCCAACCATGCAACAAGTTGCTTCGATACTATCAAAGCAAAGGCCAACACTGCAAAATCAATTCTACACGATTACATTAGGACAACTCTTTGACATCAACTGCTCAAGCTCTTGAGTATTTATTTTCTCTTTTATTCTTGGATTGCATGATGTTCTTGCTTTTAATTGCCTTCTACCATTCAATTTCACCTTGTTTCCAGTCTATTTTGCTACTCTTTTCTACTAATTACCAATTTACAAACTTTTATATGCATAATTTAAAAGTATCAATTCTCTATAATTTCCATTACGGTTAGAGATACAATAATGTGTCTGAATTCTGCAATAGCCCACTTGTTGTATCACATATATCTTGGCTCTCGATCAACAAATGGGCTCTATGGTCAGTGTAATCCAATCGTGAATAATAGACACGCTCAAGCTCTTGCCATATTGCATGCTATCAACACGTATGACATTGTATAATATCATGTCTTCTTGATTTTTGTATTTCCAGGTAGCTGGTGAACAAGATTTTCCATGGGAACTTGGCTCCACTGTTATTGGACATCTACGACTTTAGTCCTGAGTTCCAAAAGCCAAGAGAACCAAGCTCATTGTATGGCTTCTTTTTCGAGAAATGCAAGGATTCAACTTAGTCTTCATTGGTCATCTCAACCATAATCATCTAAGTTTTGGGTGGGTTGGTTTGTCCTGTTTTACGTGTTTTGTTTTGATTTTGCTTCTAGCAAGGTAGTGGTGTGGTGTGTTGCTTTTACTTTGGTGGATTGGGAGTTTGGTGAACTTAGTTTTTTAGGATTCTCTCGTACAATAGACTTAGGTGGTGTTTTTCTTTCGATCTCTCTATTCCTATGGTTCACTTGTAATTGCTTTGTATAAGAAATGAATTAATGAATCACACCTTATGATATTTAACAAGCATTCAAGCTTGGAACCAATTTGCATAGCATGGATAATTCCTTGATCATTTTATAAACTTTTTCCTCATTCCACTCATTCTATCGAATAAACAAAGAAGCGCTAAATTTTTGTAAGTCCCTAAACCTCAAAATGGGCATTCAGTTTATGATCTGATCTTCAATTTGCAGCAGTGTAGGCATGGTGCTGGGCGTTGAACTTTTGCTCTGTTTCCTCTATTTTTTTTGTTTTTTTGGTTTGCTTCTTTCTTATGTGGCTATATTGGAACCTCTCCATCTCTAGTTTACTGTGAGATTGATCATGCATAGGGTGCCAACATAGTTGGGATGCTATGTTTTTTATAATGACGCAGAGTTGTTCCCACTCTTTGTAAGTTCCTTGATCTACTTTTGGTTAATAGAAATCTTTCCTTTTGGCTGACCAAAACAAAACAAAACAACAAACAAACAAACATACAAAACAAAACAAAAAACAAAAAAAAAAAGGGCTTTCAATAGGGAAAAAAAAGGTCAATTCAAACACAATGTAAAACATCCTCACTATACAAAAACATTCACTAGAAAGTCAATTTCAAGCATCCAAATCGTTCCTACAACATTGATTCTGCAAAAGCTATATGCCTTTTTCCTGGCCCAATCTCTAGACCTCAGTCTCAAACATGTACACATGTAGGTCTAACACACAAAGCAAACTGATACAAAAGAACTCATAATCATGCACATGACCACTTTTGTCAACAAAGAAGTGTTGTTGAATTACTACCATAAAAATGAGCAAAGGCTAGATATCACGACATGCGTAAGAAGTTTATTGCATTCTAGATGAACATTTTAGAAATATGCATAAGCAAATTCTAAATTCATGGACAACATACTAGTAGATCAAATAAAAATCTCACATATTAAGGTTATGCAGATAAAATCGCTACACCAGACTAAAATATAGCAAATAAAATTAAGAACCTAGTCTAAAACATTGGGTTAAAAATATCTCTAACACAAATAGGCAAAACAAATTAAAAACCAAATAAAAAACTATAGTGTTTTAATATCTCTGATAAACAAAAATTTCATTCATACAGTTCAAGTCCTCAACACTTAAAATACTCAAAAATAATATCAAAATAGTAAATTGATGATAATTGTCCCAAAGAACATCAGAGTCACAAAATCATGTTCACCTAACTTGCATCGATAAACCAAAATTTGAGAAGTTTGCATTATTTTGTTTTTAGGTGTCCATAAAACTTATGCTTCTATTTTATAGTCTGAAAGCATCCATGTCCAAACTCAGAATATGTAATGCCCTCAAAATAAACCCATAAACAGACATTCATGATGCAAGGAAGATATATCATATTTCATAAATCAGAGTATTCTTACAGAATGTATTACATGTTGACAACAAAAGTAAATGCCCTATGGGCTTACAACTTTCCAAGCCAACACTTGGTTACAAAAAAGGAGAGTACTAACTCTACACAAAATAAGCCCTAGGCTTGATATACATGCAATACACAAAAATAAACAAAAGAGTCTTCAACTCCCACAACCATCCAAGCTATGACCTCGGAGGCGGCATGCTACCTGAACCTAAAAATGATGTCCCATATAGGGTGAGCCAACGCCCAGTAGAGATATGCTAAACATAATATGAGCAATAACTAAAACATTAGCATTTGATAAATGTTTAACCCACATCAATCGATTCATAACCCATTTTAGTTACATGACAAATATGTCCATGTTTCATTTCATTTTCTATTTCATAACCTTGGCTCAGAACCTAGCCATATACTTTAAATGAGATTGTATCTCATATCAATAACACTTCCAATACAATTGAGATAACAACTCAAATTAACATTTCACACTTCATATTAGATACACATAATTGTTGTATCAGTCTCAACAAAACACTTCCGTACTTCGTATGTGATACACAGATTTGCTGTATCAATACTACAATAGATACACTTAATTGTTGTATCGATGGAGTTCATCCCCTATCTCCTCCCACATAACATCCGGTTTAGGAGTCCATCCCCTATCTTCCCCTAAACCGTGGAGTACATCCCCTGTCTTCTCCTACACAACACAACGTATATAAACACATATCATATACGAAATCAATCAATACATAAATTTGATGTATTATTATAACCGTCATATTCGATGACATATTCAATTGATTAGTTTTTGTTTGCCTAATCATCATGCATTGTCTACAATAATCAAGACTGTCCTCCACCGATAGCCCAAAGTAGTTATTTCTAAACAGATAATAAAAGCATCAACTGATAAATTTATCAATATTTTCAAGGGTGAGTGATTAATAAATCTAACTCCACCATTCCATATCATATTATGCCAATTCCATTTATTCCAACTCAATTTCATGTTTCCATAATTCCCAAATTAATTTCATCAATTAACTTGCCATAACAATTTAGGGCTTTTTCCCGCATTTCTCAATATTGACCCAAAGGCACAAAACAGCTTCAATAACTTCAATACTACGATTTTAAGACCCAAATTACACATTTAAGAGTCAAGACCACAAAATCCCTCTTTTGAAAATAACACATTTCAAACCCTAACCTTCCAAATCAACCCATCTATACAAATAACTCAATATCTATGTTAAAGCACATAAGAATGAGTAGGAATCCCTACCTCAAATTCGGAGCCCAAAGGTAGGAGATAACGAAATCCGAAGTGCTCCAAATCAAGAAATTCTCGGATCAAAAGATAGCCCTCGACAAACTCAACACTTCTTACAAAGGCCCAAGGTGAGGAAATCACTCCTACTAGATCAATCCCTAGAGAGAATGTGAGGTTTTAGAGTGAGGTGCTCTCAAATGGTGATTTTCAAAAAGTAAGAGAGAGAAAGGAAATCAAAAAGTGATCCAAAAGGTGAAATCCCGCAGTGTTATACCAGTCGCCCCGCTCGAGCGTGGAAACCCTCGCTCGAGCGTCGATTGCACACCTGCAAAAGTTTTGCAGACATGGTCCCCGCTCGAGCGTCAAACTCCCCGCTCGAGCGGAAGAACAAAATCAAAGGGTCACGCTTAAGCGTCAAAACTCTCGCTCGAGCGTCAAAACTCTCGCTCGAGCATATGAAGACCTGCAGACAAAAGTACTGGGAGATGGAAATTTACGCTCGAGCGTCAAAACGCTCGCTCGAGCGGAGAAGAAACAACAAAAGGCCCGCTCGAGCGTCAAAAGCCTCGCTCAAGCGTGAAGGCCAAATTCTGGGCATCAACTTTTGGTTTCAAAACACAACCAACCTGTTTCAAACCTGCCTAACACAACCCAAGACTCAAATATAAAGAGTAAAGGGTGGAAATGAGAATGAGACAACAACACAACCACGGAACCAAGTCCGGAATACAATAAACAAAGGAAAGAAAAATCGGGATCGCTATAGAATATGTATTAATGAACTTGAGTTTTATCTGCTCGAGGGCCACATAGAATTCCTGCGTGAGCAGATACTGACTAAGCATAACAACCACGCTCTTCTTCGAGCCAACAAAACAACCCTTGATCATTTCAAACGTAAAGAAAGAAAGATCATGTAGCTCCTCTTGAAAGCATGCCTAAAACCTTAAAGTGTAACCATTGTGTAACTTCATAACCTCACATCAGTTAATTGTTAACTTCGACTTGTTAGCTTCACCTACAGAGGGAAGACATGACTCATAACTCAAGTCTTTGATAGTCTTTTGATCAAAATTGTACTCCTTTCCAATATAAGCAAGGCAATAAATAATGTTTTGTATGGTTCACTGGAATACAGTGGTGACTCTAGGAAATTTTATAGATGGGATCACTCAAAAAATTTAAACTCCATAAATTTTATTAAACAAAAAACTTTTTAAACTAATTAACGTTTGAATTTCTCCACCTTCAAATAAAATAAACTTTTAATAAAATACTATCATCTTAACAAAAAAAAAAATCTTTTACAATTGTATTCGACGAGGTGTCATCTTTTTTAATTAGTACATGATAACCTCATTATTAATAGTGTCAAACACATACTTTTTCATATACATAATGAAGTAATCACTTAACTATTAATCTTTTATTTGATTTGAGTGTTGAAAATAAAAATTTAATAGAGAATAATTAGATTCCTAATGAATTTTGATTTCCAATGGATGTGGTCCCTTATTTTTATTTAATGGGATTTGTTAGTTAGCAAATAAAATTTTTACCATAGAAGGCTTTTTGTAGGGTGATGGTAGGATGGGACCCCATCACCTATGCAGTGAGGTTGCCCTTGTTGGAATGAGATGAAATGGAATAAAATGATCATTCCTTAAACGATCATTTTCTTACAATAGTGAATTATGAATCTATTTGTAATATATTTTTCATTATTTTTTAACTCAACCAAATATGGGAATGAATATTTTGATGAAATGATCATTCCATTCCAATCCATTCTAGTAAACCAAACACTACCTAATTGTGGGCAGCAATTGAACACACATATACAAGGGATGAAAATGTTAAGTCACCAAAGATCCGTGCATAGAGAGAAGAAAGAAACAAATAATGCAAATGGGGATCAAAATGCAAACGGAGAGATTTTGAATCCAAGACTAACCTGAGGTCTGATACAATGTTAAATGAATTTTTTTCTCAAAAGGTTAAACTATTAAGAAATGTGTCCACTAATGTACTTTTGGGAGAAGTGAAGAGTGTGTTGAAAACTCCATCGATGGAGTATGCAAGTCAGAGTGAAGTAAAAGTACAGAAGGCAGGGGGGGGGAAAAGGTGTGTACCATATGCACTCTACAATAAATTGGACTAATCTTATCACAAAATTTCATTATATCAACCATAAAATGTGTAACCTTGCCACAAATTGGCGTAACAAAAAACATCATAACTTTTTGTTACATGAACCACAAAAATTTAGACATTTTATTACTCTAATTTGTGGCGAAATTACACATTTTATGATTGATGATACAAAATTTTGTGATAAATTATACCATTTGTGATAGGGTGCATATGCTACACACCCATGAAGGGGTATCGTTTGC